TAAAATAAAATAAAATCATTTTCAAAATCAATGCCAGCTGTCAGTAGAACTTGATCTGGTGTTACTGTGGCCACACTGGCAATCTGTGAACTGTGAATGGGACCAAGGGGGACCTCTCTGCACAGCTGTGTCACGTCGGCCCCGGAGAACCCTTCCAATCGCTGCGCAACCAGCTCAGTTTCCTCCTCACAGAGACAGCCCTGCACCCTGGAATCAGATCAATTAATTACCTTGTTTCTCCCGCATGACTTCTGGGAGGGGAATGCAGAACCTTTTCACCAGCCTCTTCTGGCAGCCTCATGATTTCCTAAGAGCAATTGTTTGCTCCCACCACAAGCACACGATCTTCAGAAGACAAGGCTGTTCCAACTAACTGAACTAGAAACAGTTTTTATCCTCCTGGAAGACTCATGCTCTCCATCTCCCGACTCCACTGAGATAACAGAGAATCATTTTCATCAATAAGTATCACAGATGGCTGCTGACATCCTGCAACAGCAAATAACGATGCACGGACCATTTTCTCCCCCTCACCTACCCACTTAGAAGTTAAGGGGGAGGCAGAGATACTGGAAAGGTCCCCCTCCCATCCCTTTCCCCTGCTGACTAGCAACGCAATTGCCAATCAGTGTTTTTCCAGTCCCAGGAAGACCAAAGAGCAGAATTCCTTTCTGGGGTTCTCATAAACCAGTGAAGGTATCTAGTGTCATCATGGGCCACACAACTATCTCCTTTATTGTAGCTTTGGAAAACTCTACCTTTGCAACATCTTCCCAGTTCATGAGGGGCTCAGGGTCCATAATCTATTCATAATCAGTTCAATCATATTCGGCTCCAAGCTCTTCAGACACTCAACTGGATGTGCTGGTTTTGTGTGTCCCGTGCTGTCAGGCTTACACTGCATCCCCTATTCAGATCCCTCTGCCCATCTTGCTTAGGTATAGGAGGAACAAACTTCCCAAATATTCCTCATGATCGACTGGCTCCCAAAGGCTTTTTCACACCACATGTGAAGACCCTGATGCACGGAGTGCTGATCCACTCTCCGTAATCGCTCCTTTGCAGTTTTAAAAGTGGCCAGGCTGCTGTCCTCCCTGTCGCCGTTATCATCTGTTTTCCTAACAGCCTGGTTCAGGATCATGGTGGAAAGTGCCTCAGTGGTGCCAAAACCACAAAAGCTTTCCTTTCCCGAGGGTACAAGACCAACTGGATGAGAACAAACACAGTCAGTCCTAAGCTGGCTTTTGGAGCCTGTTACCTTCCCTTCTGACAATTACAAGGGTGTGGCTGGAATTTTGTAGTGGCTAATTCACCAGAAGGTGTTGAGAATGTGGGACATGCCCTTGGGGTGTTTGTCACCACAGGTGGCTGGGCATTGCACGGGCCCTTCAAAGGACTGCTCTCTGGGATGATTTGGGTCTTAGCTGTACCATAAACTGGATTGTTCAATGGATCACTCTCCTCAAAACCATCACAAAGACAATGGCCTCTTCATGGATTACAACTGATGTCCTAGCAGGTGCCAACAGGAAATCTTTGAACTTTTTGCCAGCCCGCATCGTGTCTTTGTGAACAGCCACGCTCTACTCGTTTAGGAAAGCCTGGCAGAATTACTACAGCTTCAGCAGGGCCAGTGAGCACAGGTCACCAGTCACCGATGACTCAAGCACCCCATACCTGACCATTGAGACGCCTGCCTAGAGGTCACACTCTCCAGTAATATTCTCCTTTTGGTATAGAAGTTAGTTTTCTCCTTCAGAGCCAGGTAAGGTAGCCATGAATCTGGGTCCAAAGTCCTCACACAATGTAATCCATGGTTTTTGCCCTTCCCATAAAGAGAAGGATCTGTTAGCAGTTCTAGCTGGCATTGTGGGATTTTGCAGAGGCAACTTTATGAAGTTATTTGACCCTATAGCATCATGTGACTTTTGAAAAGCTATTGCTAATCAGGAATTTTAATTCAAAACAGGAACATTCAAAGCAGCATTCTGGTTCAAGAGTCGTCACTTGAATGGCAGTCCCTTCTTACACACTGACAACTAACAGAGAGGAGCGTTACAAAGCATCAGTCACGACTTCATTTTGAGCCTGAAGGCCGGATGTGTAAATGTTAAAGATAACTCTTTGCTATGGAAATTTTTTTAGAACAGACCAGAGGATGCAACAGCTGCCATCCAAAGCTGCCCTGCAGCAAGAGATGCTTCTCTGGAAAGGCCAGGACTGGCGAGGCAGCCCCTAATCCTCAGAATAGCCTGCTGGCTGTCACCCAGTGTGCACACCCCTCAGCACACAGGCAGGCAAGGGACACACAGTGCCACATCTGGAGCTCCTTCTGCTTGTGGCTCAAAGCCATGGGTAACATGAAAAGTATTTGGCTTACTTGGTTTACTTAGTATGTTATACAATTGTTTAAATGCATACCAGGTTAAAACTTCATTTATAAAGCAATATTTCTTGGAGCTAGGACTACTCACTTCCAAGTCACCCTGGGTGCTTATTAGAAATGCAAATTCCTATGCGTGCCTGTCTATGAACCATGTTATTATCTCCCTTGATTGCATGTAAGTCCTGGAGAGTAGAAACTGGACTGTTTTACCCTGGTACCCCAGCACTCCTAACAGTGCTTAGCACATAGTAAGTGCTCAGTAAATTCTTGTGGGATAAATTAATTCCAGGTCCTATAACTGACCTACTGAATCAAAATCCCTAAAAGCAGAGCCAACAAATCTGCATTTTAAAGATGTAGACTGGTGTTTTCTATGCACCCTACATTTCAAGAACTATTGTTCTACAGTAATTCAGCCAATTATACGATAAAGGAAAAGATAAAAAGTTTTGTTTCCCAAGGCCCCCATACTCCTTATAGAGTGAGGGAGAGTGAACATATTAATATCATCCTTGGGTTAAACTTTTGCCTTCTAGTCACACACCTCCCACGAATGGTGATCTGCCACCTGAGTGCACCGGGCTCTGGGTTCCTGCATGGACAAAACGAAGATGGGCGTGGAAGGCAGAGTGCCTCTGCAGGACCAGTCCTGCTCTGTCAACAGCCACGCCCACCACCTGCCACTGTGCAGGAAGCAAACATGTGGAATGGATTACAGTGGTCCCTCTTATCCACAGTCAACCATGATTCGAAATGTTAAATGGAAAATTCCAGAAGTTTAACCCATAAGTTAAATTGTGCACTGTTCTGCTGAGTGGCGTGATGAAATCCCATGATGTCCTGCTTCATCCCACCAGAAACATAAATCATCTCTTTGATCCGCATCTTCATGCTGCAGACGCTCCCTACCCGTTAGTCCTTAGTAGCCATCTCAGTTATCAGACTGACCATCACAGTATCATAGTACTGATGTTCAAGTCACCCTTACTTAACTTAATAATGGCCCCAAAGTGTAAGGCAGATGCCAAAAGGCAGCTATAAAGTGCTTCCTTTAAGTGAAAAAAGTGAGTACAGAAGAATAAGATGTTTTCAGAGAAAGAGACCACATTCGCTTAATTTTTATGTATGGTATATTGCTTCATGGTTCTATTTTATTATTACTTGTTTATCTCTTATTGTGCCTAACTTACAAATTAAACTCTCCCATAGGTATGCAGATGTAGTAAAAATCATAGTATATATAGAGGGTTTGTACTACCTACTAGGGCTCTTGAAATATATCCCCCTTATTTACGGGGGAGTAGAGTGTTGGACAAGCCTGCCCCACAGCTCACAGCTATGGAAATGGAACTGACTAGATGTTCATTACTGCTTTTCTGGAAGGCTTGACTGACACCTCTGATTCATGAAAGCCAGACATTATCTCAAAGGATTTATCTTATCCTAAAAGACTCCAATTATTCCAAATAGGTTTCCTATATGTTGGCCCTTTGAGTTTGTCCTGGAAACTTGGCATTTTATTTCTAGTTACAATCAGCCTTTCATGAGCTTTTGACCTTGGGTAGTCACTTCACCTCTCTTGGTCTGTTTACTCATTTGAAATATGAGCTGATTAAATTAGAATCAGGTCTCGAGCCTCTTTCAATTTCAACATACCCTGATCTGTGACACCGTACTGCCCCACACTTAACATCCAGATGTGATTAGATGAGCCAATAGCAACCCTCAAGCTAGTCCACCTCAAACTCTCCAAGGTACAGGTGACTAGTTTGGGTAGACTAGTAAAATTTGAGATTTGGAACCAATTTCTAGGAATTTTGTCTCCCAATTTCTACATATTAGGAAATTACTATAGTGATTTTAATGTGCTTAGGACTTTATATAAAAGATAAATGTCTGAATTTCCTCTGAAATGTGAACATTCTGTGCATAGCAGCCTCTGGGACAAGGTGTTTTAGCAGAGCCTACTCTAAGAGAGGTGAAAATCACTACTTTGAGGGTTACTCTCAGGCCGAGCTGTGAAGAGAGAAATTTAGGGAGTGAGATGCCCTCTCCACCACCCTCTCTTTGCATTTCCTCTGTCCATCCTTCTGTCCCCATCACACAGAAGTTTCTTCAAGGGTGGACGGTCCAAATTGTACATTTAATGCCCTTTGTTCCCTAGCACCCTCACTAACTAATCATTGCTAACTTGTCCATTACCTTGGCCTAGTAACTGTACTTTAACTGCCTTTCTTTGGAAAACAGCTTCACATCAGTCAGTGGTTCTCAGTGCCTTCAGGCCTAATGTCTGCTTTATAGTCCAACTGTTCTGGGACACCTCCTTTGATAGCCGGACGACCTAAAAAGCAGGGTCTGTACAGAGTGGAGGGACCCATGGCTGTTCTGACAGTGCACTGTGGTCAGGAGCCCCCCGGACCTGCCAGAAATTACAGCCCTGCATCATTTGGGGAGGAAATGCATTTTTTCCTGAAAAGAGGCAAGGAGTTGTTTAAACTGACCATTATTACCAGTGGTTCAGGGTTGGACTTTTACTCTCATGTGGCCACTCATCAAAGACAAAAAAAGTACATTATTCAAGTCAAATCTATAATATATTTACTTTTCCTTTCAGGGGAAAAATGATCCCATCTGATCTTGAAAGAAGGATCCTTGAAGTCAAACAAAAAGTAAGTTTTTGCAGGCAGCTTTATGCTGCCCATGACAAGCAAAGGGTACAGATTTGTATTCCTACCCAGTGAAGAACGGACTTTGGTTTTAGTTTTAAAAAGAAGACCCCAGCCTAAACCTCCAGCTTTAATGAGAATATGGAATTTTCTCATACCCAGTCATTCTCTGTCTCTGAGTTGTAGGTTCTGCTTTAGAAAGGTCTAAGTTGCTGAATAAATAACACACACAATAATGTTGTAAGAATTTCCAAAGCATTTTTCTTCTTATGTGATGAGGTTTGAAATTAAACAGATACGTTTGAAAGATCATTTTCACAAGTGAAAAATACCAAAATGCTAATGTGGTGTGTGAGTTACCGATATGGCGTTACTTAAAAGGAATCATTTTCCCTGCCTGGACACATACCGATATGACTGGCTCTCCCAATATCTTATTTTTCAGGAGCAATTTAGAACTCCTTTTAGAAGTAACAAGTTCTGAAGACGTGCTAGAGATTCCCACAAAGTCATTTACAGGGATGGTTCGTAAGCCAGAGAGCTCACTTTTAAAAGTCTCTTAGTTTAACTTTTACTGAATATAATATACAGTTCCTAGTTCAATGCTATAAGATGTGCATCTAATTATTATGAACTCAGGAATAATTTTTTTAATATGACCATTTCCCTCACACAAATTGGCATACAAAGTCCCTTGTTCTTGTACTAGAACTGCTTCTTGTAACATGAACCACAGATTAAACTTTGCTGCCACCTGCAGACTGCCTCTGTAACGTCATGTTACATCATGGAGAGAAACATGTTCATTCAATCAAGAATGCCCACGTCATTCTTCAGCCTCCTTTCAGCAGCCACATATTATTTCAATCACTTTCACTGAGCCAGGGCCAGACAGAGAACTACTAAGATGCATAAAAGCCATGGCTATTGTTTAGCTCCTGTGTATCCTCTTCTTTAAGACTCCAAACACGTTACTGAGGATTTTCCAAATAGGAGTAATAGGCTGGAGTTCCTTCTCTTTGTTCTCTTTTCTGCTTATTTATTAGGTTCAGAGGGCCTGTTATGAAGAAGGAAGACTAGAAAGTCAGCAAAAGGGGCTGGGGAGGCCAGAAAATCTCCTTGGAATATATAAATGACCTGTGGGTATTACAAAGCTTATTTACCTCTGGGTCCAGTGTAGCCTCTTCTGAGAACCAGTCTTCTCAGAGAGCAACTGCAGGTCCACCAGAATGGCCTGGAGAACTCAGATCCTGGAGTGTGAATATCATTCCTACCAGGCTTCAAGTTCCAATTATCCTTCTGATGGCTCCCCACATGCACATGTGCGTGATGGGGAAGAATGTTCGCTGTTTTAGTCAGCGATGTCAAAGAATGCTTGAACCCCTGTTTTACATACCTGGGGCTTTCTCATTTGCATAGGGATTCGTTCCTTTCCTTGTGAGCGCCACGGCTGGGACCACCGTGTATGGAGCGTTCGATCCCCTCTTAGCTGTCTCCGACATTTGCAAGAAGTATAAGATCTGGATGCACGTGGATGTAAGTATCACCTAGGGCCTACCACTAACCTTTCCTTGCACATTTTTCACCTGGGGCTTGCGGAATAAAATGTGTGTCTCGCACTCTCTCTTTTACTTTAGGAGCTTATTTTCAAATGGTGATGTTTCAGCTTTTAAAGAGTGCAAAAACAAAATAGCACACAACTCACATAGTATACAGCATTCACTGTAAGCAGTCTCAGGCTGATAATGCCTTAATGTTCCTGACATTCTTATTTCTTTGACCAGTACCCAAGCTGAGCACTTAGTTCTCAATTCATTGAGCTATAATGTCCTATGTACATACACACAGTCACACACATAGAGAGCTTACTGCCCTGCAAGAATGACCAAAAGGGTAAATAGGAGTTGCATTTATACAGGAAACCCAAAGGGTAAAAACCCCAACTCAAGTCAGATATTTATATATATATACTGAATGGGAAGCACACTTGACAATTTGCTAAGAAACACCTACCACCAAATTTCTCATTTCTTAGGTTGGTCTGCTAAGAAGATAAACTGTATGCAAAGGTTTTGACTCCAGACTTAGTCACATTGAAAAAAAAAGGAGTGTGCCAGGAAAAATATTTTCAAATGAAAAACTATCCATTTTTAGGACAGATTGTAGGTATTTCAATTTAGGCCAGAATTTTTCAAAGTACAGCTCAAAGATTAGCTGCCATATGCAAAATGTCAATGATCCACAGCGAGATAAGGTGTTGTACCAAATTATCATGAAGCACAACATCTGGGGCATACAGCCACCTTTCTGATTGCAAGGCTTTCTCAGTGAAGGAAGCATAAGTTGGCTTACATTCTAATTCGAGAGCGTTGGTGAGTAGCACTGGCTTTTGATCCTTTTGGCTCTATGATAAGTATTCAGAGCAGATGAATTCCCCTTTCTTTAGGAGAAAATGTCCACAGGCTGAGCTGGTTAAATTTCCATTATTTCAGAGACATCTACCTAGCCATTACCAACCTTCTTTTTCTTCTGATTCACAACGTGACTTTTACCAGAGATTCGTCGTTTTACGCACAAAAACACTGAGCAAAGGTTGACCGACTGGGGTTGTTCGGTGACCTGGTCTTGGAACTGGGGAGCCTGTCAAGCCCTGCTAGCAGGTTCAGGAAGAGGCTGCCCCGGCAGATTCACCAGCAGCAGCGTCTGTGTATCCTAAGCCAGCCAATGCCGCAGTCTCTCCCCCAGGATCTGTAATCGCAATAGAGCTGGGAGCAACCAAGTGTGTTAGCTTTCTCTGAGACATATCAAGCTTACCACTTATTTTTATTCTCTTTAATGTTTATATATTCTGTAATTAAGCCAGAAAAAAATCTTAAATATTATACACCTGGAAAACTGGGTAATTTTTGAAACTGTAAAAGAACCAAAATTACAACAAAGGGGAAAAAAGCAATCATACCCTAACAGTTTTTTCCCCTTTAAAATAATCCCAGGAGTATTTTATTAACATCCACAAAGAATGTTAATATATTTGACAAGTCTCCTCCTTGACATCTGTTTTTAAAGATGACTATACCAACTCAAATCTTAAAACTTGAGAACGAATTTTTAAGGGACATATTCTAATTGCTCAACTAATTGACTAATATAAATCCTTCCTGCTTCCTTTTCTGTTGTTATTCATTTATTTGACAGAGAGCTTAGCTTATCCAAAATTACACAGAAGTAAAATTGGGTTATAAAGTTGCTTCCTCCATCTGGAATCATCCAAACTTGTCAAAAGAGTTTCCCTTGCACCTGGGAAGATGTTTAAAGAGTCCCCGGCCCATGTCCTTGACCCTAAACTGTGGCGATTACAGAGTTTCTCCTTCTGAGGTAATGAGCTTCACTTGGCCTACGATGGGCTGTGGGGAGAACCTGGCTCTTTCTCATGCAGACCGAGGAGACGCAGCTCCAGTCTGGTTCCTTCCACCACATAGACGCAGACGAAGTCTGAGACTTCAGAACAGTAGTCGCCCCCCCATTTAAACTTTGAAAATCTAGTGCTAGACAAAAGTGACCAACCTCCTGAGTTGCCTGGGGTCAAGCAGACTCTTTCTCACTGTTCTGAAAGACACCAAACTGTAGAAATCCAGGCAATGAGAAACCTCTACCTTTCTCCTTGTATGATCTTTTTCAGGCTGCTTGGGGTGGGGGATTGCTGATGTCCCGGAAACACAAGTGGAAACTGAGTGGCGTGGAGAGGTACACACTTTTTTCTTGTTCACAAAGTGTGAAGTGTGAAATGTGGAAACTAAATGTGAAAAGCACCCAGTTTTCAAGAACTGTTGGTATACAGGTGAGCCAATTCTGTGCAGTGCTCATGTGCCTTGCTGTGGGTGGTCATACACATGTGAATATTATGTGTAATAAGAAAAGAAATCGAAGCCTGTGTCATATGATCCCAGTGGAACATCTCTCAAACACAGAGATTCCTACCTGGGGCCCGTGGTTCACCAGCACAACGAGGAGTAACCTGGGATCTCTGGACCAACCACTGAAATCCTTTACACCTGCGGGCACTCATGGTTTTCTAGGGAGAAGACCTATAGCTTCTGGGTTCCATAAAGGATGATATCCGCTGCTTTAAAGAAACCAGTAAATAATTTAGCAAAGCGAACAAACACTTTGTAATTTATGTTGGGTTTGGGTTTAATATGGTTACTTTACTTAAAAGTGGAACATGCCTTTATTACCACGGTAATTTTTTTCTGATGTAACTCTGATGCTGCAGAGCACCCTCTATTCAGAAACTAAGCAGTAAATCATTGAGAAAAACTGTAAAACACAAAAGAAATAATATTTGATTAGTGTAAAGCATATTCAGATCCAACAGAAAAAGGAAAAAATTACAGAATGCTACACCAGCCTCGGGCGCTGGAGCTCAGAGTTCACTGTTTTCCCATCATGACGTGACAGGTCAACTGCTTTTTGTGAGCTCTCACACTCCAGGTCACTGAGAAGGCCTTAATTCATCCGAGGCTGCCAGGTTCGCAGCACGCCCTGCCAAGGAGCCAGATGCTGCCCAGGGGAAGTTTCCCACTGGCTCTGCTCCTAGACAGCTTGGCACAGTTTCCATTCCAGGATGGGGAGAGAGGCTGATGGCACTTGGGAGCATCTGTCAGCACTGGTCATGCAGAGCGGCCAGGCCAGAGAATACACAGGGTATGCTGCATGACGCCCAGGCCTGCTCACACCCGGATAATCACTGAGTGTGGGAAGGAGGGGGTGAGGTTACTGAGGCAGAGTCAGGGGCTCCCTGCCTAACCAGTGAAAAGAGGGCCACAAGACAAGAGATAGACCAGCTAAGGGCCCTGCCAGCCAGGTTGCTGTCCCTGAGCCAGCTGCCCTTGCTCTGACTGCTGGGACCTGTGCAGTGGGAGCGGATGAGGACAGGCCTGCCCCCTTCCCACACTGAGCCAGTTCTAGTCTCTGCTTCTGGTCCTTCAGAGATTCTCACAGGCCTGGCTTTTTTTGTCATGAAGGTCCACAGGAGAGCTGATGCTTCAGGAGGAGGCAATGAACTGAATGAAGAGACAAGGAACAAAGTGAATGATGTAGAAGGTGCCCATTTAGATGACCAGGACAGGAATTAACTCTGTGTGCTTTCAACAGAGGTGTCCTGTGCATGGTACCTTCTCTTTGAGTTTCTTTTTTCAATGGCACAACAAGTGAGCATCTGTTATTCTACCTTTATGCTACCTGGGACTCCAAGTGCTGACAGCCACGCAGCACCCTACGCTGACAATTACTTGAAAGCTGCTAAATTACCTCCCCTGAGCCTTGGAGAAATGCACACCCACACACCTTTGCAGTAAAGACAGTTACTTGAGAGCAAAGCTTAGAACACTTCTCATGGAACAGAGAGTCCTCTGTAATTGCCACAGTCCTTGGAACTGCGTTATAACTAACTCTACTAAAAGGAACAGCCAGCTATGAAGTCCTAAAAAGAGGAACTGATGGTGTTCTGTTTTGAGCAGAACCCCCTTAGCCATCCATTTACCCGAAAGTATCCAACTTGCTGACTTATCAGCAAAAGGCCCACTTCCTTAGGTGAATAAGGCTGTAGGGCCCATGGAAACCTCTGCGCATAATGTGCATGAGCACGAACTTAGGAAAGAAATTGGCCTCACTTGGGATATGTTTTCCTAAGCATTAGGACTCATGCTAAAGTGCAGGAAATCCATAGTTGAATGTTGTCTCCAAATCCAGAGGTTCCCCAGTGGTCACAGGGATCCCAGAGTGCTGTCCTCATAACGAAATACCACAAGCTCCCAGAGTTCTGCCTGGCGTACCCTTAGAGAACCAACCGAATTTTCAGAAAGCCACTTCCTTCCTCAATAGCACTGTCCAAATGTCTAGAGGCGGGGTCACTGAGAGGGCATGCCGGGAGCCCTGATGCCCTGCAGTCTGTTTCTGTGCACTGGGAACTGCCTCCTGTAACCCTCCCGCAGCACGCTGCTGCGCACCTACCATAGCCCACCACTGTGGCCCACTCAACCAGGCTTTCTAGCCCAGCTAAAGGTTCCTGCACAGTGTCTTCCCCACCACCAATGACTGCCCTCCCACTCTGAGAGCCATGGGTTCTGCAATTCGAGTCGGCAGTTGCAGGACCTGTGCCAGCTGCAGGCCTCAGCACCAGGCTCAGTGAAGGCACAGAGATGGATATGATAGGAAGCCTGTCTTCAAGGGGCTGAGAATCTAACAAGGAAGACTGATGACCAACAATGGATTAAAAGTCAAGGCAGGGGAAGTAAAGGCCCAAGGGACAGACAAGTGAGCTGTTTGGAGGGCACCGAGGAGGGAATGACTCCTCCTAGGGGTGGGCATTGGTGCTTTAGCAGGCAGAAGTGGAAGGACGTCAAGGTGATGAGCAGGCACACACAGGTTTGAACGGGGCCTTGGAGAACGTTCAGACGAGTTTTTTGGAGACTGAGATGGAGTCATGGCAGTGCTTGGGAAGCTGGTGGAGTGTCCACAGGTCCTGCCCAATGTGCCCCATTGGAGGGCCTGCTCCCAGAGCCATGTCAGCTTGGCTGTGAGCTGAGAATCACCACCTTGTGAGTCACTTATTCCACACATGGAAAGCATTATGTTTCTTGGGCTGGGGGAGAAAGCTGGAAAAGCCCACTGTAGCAGCCATAGTGTGTTCCACCTGTGCTTTGGAAAGATAACTCTGGATGCAAGAGGAGATGGAAGCCAGAGACTGACCAGAGCTGTTAGGAAAATATCCAGTGCAGGAAGCAGCGGAGGTGAGAGAAGCTGAAGGCAGGAAGGGAGAAGAGCAGATGGACCCAGGAGGGCAAACAACTGCAAAAGATGCTGTCAGGGGACAGGGACGAAGAGGATGAAACCAAAACAGCACAGGTTTTGGGTGCTGGATGCATGGGAGGAAGATGGTACAAGGAACTGATGCACAGAAGACAAGAGGAGAAAGACAAGGTCTGGAAGGATGAGGAGGGGCGAGTGAATGAGTTCTTCAGGGTCTGCTGAGTTTGAGGTGCAAATGAGGTTACAAGGCTATGTCTGAAAATAGCCCTAGGGGACTCAGTTCTCTCTGAATTGTAGAAAATCGCAGACACCACGTGTCTGGATCCCATGGCAAAACATTTAGAAGTAAACCTGAGGCTGTCTTTTATAAATTGCCCACATTTCTCTGTAAGTGAAGCCTGTGTCATTGAATCACTCTGTGAAGGTTTCTGCCTCCTTCTGAGGCAGCCCCTCTGAGGCAGAGGCAGGCCAGTGACAGGTAGCCATGGACCTGGGCACTTCTAGTCTAAAAAGACACGTTGGCCTCTTCTCCAGTCAGAGAAATGTAGAAGAGCTGTTTTCTTCTCTGTAGGAGTCATTACCGACACAGCTGAGCTTCCTCGGGATTAGGTGTGCAGCTGTAGAATATTACAGAATATTCTATAATACATACCCAGTGTCATGATGCTCATAAATGATAGAGTTGAAATTAATAGGAAAAGCCAACCTTATGGTGTGTCAGACACAGTTATAAGCACTTTTACTAAGACCCAAACCATTCACTCTTGTTCTATTGACAGACAAGGAAATCTAGGCAGAGAGTAACTTGCTCAAGATCACACAGCTAGAGTGTGGTAGAACAGGCGCAAACACAGGCTGTCTGGCTCCTGAGCTTGCCTCCCTTAGCCACTATTACCTACTGCTTAGAACCCAGGTTTCTTGATTCTGGTCATGAAGTCATTTAGTCCTCTTTCCAGAGGTAGTATCCATCTGGCCACGAACTGCCTATGCTTCTTGCCTCAATTTCAGTGCAGAGAAGAGTTGGACTATTCATTAATCCAGACAAGATCTCAGGCCAGCAAGAGTTCTTGCTAAGCCTCCTATTCACCAAAGAGATGAATGAATGAGATATTTCCCAGCTTCTCATTTCTCCCCAAGCTTTTTGTACTTTGGTGCTGGAAGCAGGGAGATCCCAAGTCTGTTGTTCAGCCAGAGGAGCAAGCAACCCACAGCAGCCGCCATGGTTGGTACTGTTATTTCTTCCTCCTGTGAATCTATTTATACCAAGGTCACATTCAGTTTCTCAGGAGATGTGCACAGGGACTCACCAGCCTGAAAAGCATGTAACATGAACAGTGGGGACTCCCCGGAACAGCCGCTTTCCCTGGGAACTGGAGGAGGGGATTGGAGCAGTACGGCCAGAGTGGGGAAGAAAAGTTGAATGAAATCCAAGAAAGCTGCAAAATTAAGACTTGATCTGGGCCTTAAAGAATAAGTAAGATTTAGCCATGTGAGGCAAAGGGCAATGACTTCCAGAAAGAAGAAATCACAGTAAGAGACCTAGGAGCATGAGCATAGAATTTTATGAGGACAAAAATAGTCTGGTGTGTGTGATAGAAATAGGTACAAGAAAGTCATAGGACACAAGATAGAACACATTGCCTGGGGCTTACCTGTGTGGGCATCATAGCCATAGCCTGTAGTTTGACTTTAGGCTGAAGACAAAAGGAGTTGTCAGCAATTTAGAAAGAGGAGAGGAGAGGAGATAACTGAGATACAGAGCTAGGAGATAACTGTGGAGCTGGGTGGAGGAGGAAATGGAATCCAAAAGTCAATTAAGACATGATTGCTATATCTAGATTAAAATAATAATTATAATAACTATTGTTATTATTAAAGAAATCTGAATCAGAATCTGATTCTGAAAAGTCTATGGTTTAGACTTTTCAGATAGTGTATACCCCTGAGCTGAGAAAAACTAATTATGATGGAAGAGTATGTCTCTAGTGGGTTGGAACCAAATCTATTGAAAACTGCTATGGGAGCCATAGTGTATCTCACCTGTGGTCTAGAAGGATAACTCTGGATTTGAGAAGAAATGGAAGCAGGGATGCGCTAGAAGCTACCGTGAAATTACGCATTTGAGAAATTTGGTAGTCACTTGAATCAGAGGAAGAAGAAACACGGTTGGGGAAAGAATAAAATTAAGCAGTTGAATGACCCATGGCTTCGAGCTCCAGGCCACGACTGTGTCAGAAGCAGGAACAATGGAGACACACAAGGGCAACTCCTCCACTTGCCTGGCACCCTGCTCCTTGGTGGCCCAAAGCGGGGCCCTGGACTCGGTGATCCTGGCCATTGGAAAGGTCTCTCAGACCACCTTGAAAGCCAAATGAATACCTCCATGGAAAAGAGAAAGGTTCTAGATCCAGTTGTTGTTTTGCAAATTTACTGTCCTCCTGGAGTCTGACAAACAGCGCCAAGAACCCTGAAGTTTATTCCTCGTGCACGGGGCCTGAGTAATCTGCCTTGACACGGGTGCTACCTCTTACCATGATTTGTTTCCCTTAGGGCCAACTCTGTGACATGGAATCCACACAAGATGATGGGCGTCCCTTTGCAGTGCTCTGCTCTCCTGGTTAGGGAAGAGGTACGTCTTTCCTGACTGGTGGCCCAGTCCACTTGTGGGGTTTGATAGAGTAAAGGTATGTACTGATGGAATTAGAATACTGGATGATTTTACAGGCCGGACCAGAGAGCTGTATCTAGAAAGGGGAAATTGTTCATGAAGATAATGGTAAGGTCCTGCTGTTATGTCCTAATGTAGTCTGGTTACAATTTGACTAGACAAGACAGTCATGTTTCACACATGGCCAAGTTGTTCTACCTGTGAAAAAGCACAAGACATTAGGTTGTCATCTGTGGGCTCAACAATGGGTCAAGAGAGAATTACTATTCACAAACCATTAATGGGATGAAGGAGTGGAGTTTCATAATGAAGGAGGTGGTGGTCTTCTATGTCATCTGGTTAAACACACCTGGCATGATTTGCTTATGTGGGTACCAAATAGTATATGGGACCCCATCAAACTAGAGCTTACACAGTGGAGAACACTTGGTAAGCATGTACAAAAGGTGGTTAAAAGAACTGAGGATGTTTATCTAGAAAGGAAGAGAAGAGGGAGGGAGGCAGGAAGGAAGGGTGAGCCGAGACAATAGCCCATTCTGTAAGTAGCCCTTACAGAATGACTCTTAAGTGGAAGAAATTTCTTTTTTTTTTCTTGAAGCTTCAGGGAACTGGGTTAGTAACACTGGGTGGCACAGATGTAATGGCAAAATTAGAATACACCATAACTTTAGGTCTGAATTGGGGACATTAAAAGGGACACTTTTCTATAAATTAAATTGCCCCAAAAGTAACAAATGCTTTATGTACAAATAAATTACTCATCAGTGGAGGTAACTGAATAAAGACTGAACAATCAAATGTTAGTAAGAGAACAAAACAGGCCCCCTCATTGGGAAGGAATAGATTAATAGTTCCAGATTTCCTTCCAAACTTACAATGCTCTGATGGCATTTCCCTTATTGGGAACCAAGGAATAATGGCATTCCATATCTTATATTACATATTCTATGTCTTGTATTTAGTATTCTTTGGTAAAAGAATTCTCAGTTTTAAAAAAGCTTGTGATACATTGGATTAAATAGTTAAAATAAGTTTAATTATTTCTGGGCATATCAGAGCCTTTAATATGCTGATACATATTGCAAATATCTGAAAAGAAGGCATTTATGATATAGAATTTCCTATGTTTATTTGGCAGTGGGGATCTCTTGTACAGCAACTATTTTACAGCACAGCGCCTATCCATGTATGTGTTTGACATGGTTTGGGACATAATGGTTGTAACTTTTTAATGGTCCAGAACCATCATGTTATTATTGTCCCAAGACCTTTATGTGAAAAACAACATCTCTTTTATTTATCCTTTTGCACAATGAGCCTGGTGCTCTCCAACCTTTTAGAAGTCACATGCTTTGAGTGGCTTTTCCTCTCCTGGTAGAAGCTGGTCTGGTCTGTCCACTGTTCCAGGATGGGGTGGCTGCCTTAGGACTGAGGGCACCTATTTAGGGGTTTGCTGGGCTGGGCAAGGTTGGTGCCAAGTTTCTGTGACCATGAAACAAAATAGAAGCACCTGTGGCAATTTTTTACTTTATTGGTCAAGTGAAGTTTCTTTTTCAAATTCTATGTCTTTCTATTTCTGTTTCAATTAGATTGTGTAACTTCCTTTAGTCTCAGAAAATAATGATGAATTCCACTGAATATGAAGCCTAAACTGCAAGACTGAGCCCTAGTTAAAATCTTAGCTGCATTGCATTTTCTTTTTGTTTGGACGATTCTTTTCAAAAGGTTCTCACTTCTAACTTCAACTAAATGGTCACATTTTAGTCTTTTCTTCTCTGGTCATGAGTCACAAAGAGTCACAAGAGAAAAAAATGCTGGAGCTTCTGTAAAATCACAATTATGCTGTAGATAATGCAAGAGCCAAAGGATTCCTGTGGTTCATGACAGATTACCGTGTGGTGGGGTTTTGGAGAAGGAGACTGATGGCGCTGTTTTAGTCAGAGAGCATGGCTCATTCACTGTCCTTCAGACAAGTTCAGTCACTTTGCCACTCATTTTCCATGGTGAGCTTCTCTTATGGAGCATTAAAGGTGATCGACAATGACACTGTCCACTGCCACTTCCATAAGCAAACTGGGTGTGAAAATGCAGTACAGGTCCTCTAAGCACTAAGAGAGAAACACGACATTTGAAATATTGGTTATTTAAGACATCTCAGAGGAGCAATGTGTTTATTTTTTTAGATTTCAGCATATAAAAATGAGAGCAATGAACTATCTTAAAAGCTATGATTTCCAAAGAGAACTCAACCTTAACAGTTAAATGATAAAGTACTTGAAGTAAATACGAATGAAACCCTAGAAGACTTGCACTAATAATATTTTACAGAACCAAAGAGTTTCTAAAATATTGTAATTGCAACAAAACCAGAACATCAAAACACTCTTCCAAAGAATGAACGTTACACTCTGATTGAGATTATTTTTTTTACGAACGCCTTCTCCGGTCAAACCCTGGAACATCTGACCCTGAGCCATTCATCCTCCAGAGTGGACTTATCACAGTCCATCTTGTCCAGATATTGGTCCCATGTTTTTTTTTTCATTTGATTCTTACTGTTTTCTTTCTCTAGAATATTCAATGTCTCTTTTATTTTTTCTTAATAATTTCCATCCCAATGTAAATTTAATAGAATATCTGAGAAAGTCAACACAGTTCCTACATTTTCTCTTCTCTTCTAGGGGTTGATGCAGAGCTGCAACCAGATGCACGCCTCCTACCTCTTCCAGCAAGATAAACACTACGACCTGTCCTACGACACTGGAGACAAGGCCTTGCAGTGTGGACGCCACGTCGACGTCTTTAAGTTGTGGCTGATGTGGAGAGCAAAGGTGAGCACGTGTAGGTCAGCTGAAAGTCAACGAAAAACACAAACTCTGTCTGGTGAGCATATGACATGTTAATAATTGATTTCCGAATCAGGAAATTACTAGCCAGAGATTGTTTCTTTAATCCTGTATCTACATATCCGCATTCTACAATGGGCAAGAGTAAAATAAAACCCATTGTATTTTTTTTCTTTTAAGCCAACTTGCACTGAATGTTCATTCATCTAGAAAACAAATCCATGTTGCTTTGTACAGCAGAACATCTGGTATTTAAGAAGTGTTTGGCTGTTGTTTTTGTCTCCCAACTCTTGCTGTTTACCCACTGATGTTTTTTTCCTCCAAACATATGTAAACTAAAAGCATATGTTTAAAGAACAAAAAAGAAAAGCAGAAAACCCTTCATGATAGCTTATTTTTGACATTTCAAAGGGGTAACAGGTCACCTCCAGTTAGAAAAACTACACAAGTACCTAGTGATCCCCTTTGTACAGTTTCTCTTCTGACCTCAGAATTGAACTGTGATGATCACTCCTCTCTCTGAAACACAAACTCTGTAACTAATGGTGTGCAGTGCTGACTAGACCTAACTGTAGCCTTCAAGGAGCATAAGTGTATGTTTAAGTGTAAGTGGGCGAGAAAGGCCCCAAATTTTATTTTTCGTCTTGACCAGATTCCAAACGTAAATGTCACAAATTGGTGACTCCCCACCTGGTTTCACTTATCTTCCACTGGAGGCAAGACCAGAGCCAGAGGACATGCTAGAAAAACCCAACTGCCAAAAGAGGAAAGCATCCTGTCCATGCCAAAAGAGGAAAGCATGACAAAGTGAAAGGAAAGGGGGATGATTGGAAAGCTGATGTCATGCCCTGAGGTCCTACATGTGGGGGGAAGTTCCCACCAATGTGGCTGGAAGCTTTTTAAGTAGCCAACACAAACATGTGACAGATTCAACCCCATGGAACAGGCCCATCACCTGGTCAGCAAGGGTGGGACATGCCAGAATGAGACCCCAGCATGGGCCCCTCCTCGGGTCTGTGTAAAGAATTATGAACCATATCCACAACTCTGAATCCCACATGCTGTTGTTCATAAACTTTTTCAGAGTAGACAGAATTGCCTTAAGCAGTTTAGAGAGGTGGTGGCCAATAAGAAAAAATGGGGGCTTGAAAGTCAAACAATATAGTCCACAATGATTTTATGGGCTCTTCTTTAAAGCCATCCTGGGAAAAAGGCAGAATAAATGGAAAGAAGTTTTATACAGAAATAATTGTCAGGTGGCCTGCAGGGATGACTGGACTTCATGTTCTTCAGACAAGCCTCCATAATACTATTTACACCAGCTGAGTTGTCTGTAAGTGTTGCTAAGTATTGGGCTGCTACCTGGCATGAGGCCCCAGGTAAATTGTTGCCACATAAAGGTTGTATGTGGGTCAGCTCCTACCCCTTGAGCTGGGCAGGGGACCTCTTCCTGTTTTGAAAGTTGAAAGCCGGACAAGTGCATATACCTGATTCCTGTCATTCAAGATGAGATTTACGTGGTTGGCAATGATACTTTCACTAGAGATGATAAATAAATGAATCAAGAATATGAATTATTGGTGCACTCTCAAGCTATTTAAAAGGAGAGGGCTTTTCATTTCATTAATTGGTGGGAATTACAAAATATCAGCTAGTAAGTTGGGGGAAGTTTGATCTCTAAATGTTGTCCAGTACCATCCTTTTTGTCTCCTTTCCCTGTGGTGTTTTTTATTAAGGTGATGATCATTAGCCATGTTTACACAAAAATGTTTTTCTCATGCTTCATCAGTTCCTGCTGCTCCTTCTCCATCTGAAGCCTCCTCACCAGCATGGTGCAGCCATTTGGTTCTTAGAGAAATAACGTGGAAGACTCCAGGTGTGAATTAAACAGCAGGAACACATGAAGCTTGAAATAAAGGCAAAGGATCCAGTTTCTAAAGTGCTGAGATGAAGGCACCAGGAGTGGGGATAAACAGAGAGACAGAACAGTCACAGCAGCCACACAACTTAGGGACACATATTCTTTTCATTCCTTGAGCAAAACCTTAAGTATCTAAACACCAAAAGAGCAAAAACTCTTATTTGGCTTTCAACTTAAAGGTGCATTTTTTTTGCAAAGTGAAATGATAATATTAAAGTAATACGTATAGTCCTACACTGTGGATCCAAAATGAGGATAATTACCTTCTCACATTAAAATCTACTTAGCAACGCCAGCCAGGGAAGGAGTGGTCACCTCTCCCAAGAAGAACCAAGAAAGAATGAGCCATGATGCTCCGTTTAAAATGCCCTCTTGCTCTCAAGAATGAGAAAACAACCTAAAAAAAATCAATAATTAGTAAATCATCTGTTATCAGACAAGCCTGGAGAGTGCAATATTCAAGTGAATCCACATTTTCTCCTCAAATAAACCACATGAAAGATATTAGCCTAAGGATAGATTACTACTCCTTAATCTGTTAATTACTAAAGAAGCTAAATGCACTGATGACAGCCATCATATTAAGTCCAAGATAACTTGATTAGAGCAAATTTATTTTTAAAAAATGAGCCTGCTAATACAGGATACTGAGAGGCGTTCTAGATTGTGTGATGATAAGTAATCTTGTTATTAGCTAAGACACTGTTCCTGTCCTCAAATTATTGAGTAGAACTTTCATTTTGCCTGCATTTTACTAGCACTTGATGATTATTTTCTATCTTGACAGATTTCTTCAGTGGCAAAAGCTTGGTAGTAGAAAAAAATCTTTAAAATTAGTCCCCATTTTTTAGGCCTGCAGGAAAGGCTTAATATGTAACTAATGAATTTTCACAGTAAATCTCTGTGTTTGTATCTTTCCTTTTAGTTTTCTGCAATTGGCTTCCCTAATCTAAACAGAGGTAATAGAGGGGCTGGCAAATGGCTGGGGACAAAACAATAACAGGAGAAAACTATTAATGGGACATTGATGACTAATGGTATCCTTTGCTAAATGACTGAATGTTCACTTTCTCTTTAAAATATAAATCTATTTTAATAAGTCAATATTGAACAGCTGTTATTGTGCCTGGTGCTGAATGGAATAAGAAACTACAGTTTTCTGGATAGGATAAGATAAATGCACAGATAACCCTCTCATGAGACAGAATATAAATGGTCACAAGAGAAACACAGACACACCTTGAGAAGTTGAAGGATGGAGAGCTGTTGCCTACTTTGCGAGTCAAGAATGATTTATTGAGAGATGACCTTCGAGATGGGTCTTGAAAATGATAGGTAGAATAATAGGATATCTACTCCCAGAAGAAGGTCTAGCAGAAGCAAAAGTGCCTAAGGTTCCGAGCCTAGTGAAAAGTCTAGGTGAAAGGAGTGTAATTAGGGAGCTGTTGTCCAGATGACAGCAGCAAAAATGGGGCTAGCAGCAAAAGATTCAGTCATTATTTCGGAAACAGCAGCTCTGAGGTCCAAGAGAATTAAAGAAGGGTTTTAAGAACCAGAGAACCATGAACAGCACTAAGATATCAGGCCCCCAGACCACACTAAGGCCATGGCTGAATGTGGGAGACTGTGAAATCGCTGAAGAAGATAACACAAACCGAGTTCACCTTCCTGAAATGTTGATTCAGGAGCCTGGGGCAGGCCTGAGAATCTACATTTTTAACACAATTAACCTGTTTCTGATACAGATGGTTCTTCAGAAAGTACTTTGTCAAAACACTGCCCCAGGCATTAATAGTTATATTGCCATTCATTCATTCATTTACTCAGAAAATATACATTGAGCATCTAGTATGTGCCTAGCACTGCTGGTGTGATACAACAATGAACAGAAGGGCCACAAATCTGTGCCCTCATGGAGTATGTATTTCAGCCAGGTCTGTCGAAACCAATCCTAAGCGTGGGCAATGAGCGAGAAAATCAAATCACCTTTCCCTGAAGCACCCTCAGCATAGTCCTTTTGCTGGGATCCAGCCTTTCATTTAGGAGTACCCGTCTGAGTCCCCAGCATCCTTCAGTGACTCAGGTCACCATTATGTGATGCCTGACAAAGTTTTATGTGCCTTAGTCATTCTCACAATATGAGCCGTGTGGCACATGATAGCTACTCAACAATAGTTTGATGAATGAGTAATTTTTAGACAGTGTCCTAAATAAAGATTCAAAACCTTGAAAATGAAATATAGAACTTATTTCCATAAATATCACCATGAAAGGAGAGGGCCCCAAGCATCTTAGGGCTCCCTAGAGTTTCCTCTGTCACTCCCTTTATATCTGTTTAGCCATCAACTCCTCCTGCTCATCTGCACCATGAAGTCCTGGACTAGTGGTGCAGGCAAAAGCCAGATCACTCCCACTCTGGTGTGTGGTGATCCCATTCCCTTTGCAATACAATCAAACTCATTTTCTGAGCACTCATTTTACCTTTCTGTGTCTGTGTGGGAGATCATGCAGGCACCATTATTTCCATGTGACCAGAGAGATTAGCCAAGGTCATATGCTGGATAGGGTCAGAGTCATACTGGTCCTGCTCTTATCCTGGATCAGCTATGTGCAAGTTTAAATTCAGCTCCAGCCTAGTCCAAAGGATCCAGTTTGGAGAATAATTAACCTCTCTCCCCCCTACCTAGGGTCCATCCCAGGTGAACCCAAACCTCCAGGTCAGTTCAAACCAATCCTAATTTCTTTGGCACCCACAGCCTTGTGGAGCTCATAGCAAAGGTGCTGGCACGAGCACTCGGGTGTCAGCCCGGTCCTTCCTTGGGCTCATCAGGAACTAGTGAGCCTTCTTGAAGCAATCAACTAAGGCAGCAATCTCCAAAGAAAAATTTTCAAATCTATGAGATTTTTTTAATGCAGCTTGTTCTTAAATATGTATCTGATATTGAACATCACTGGCTGTGCTGGATCTGCCTTTTTGCCAGGACGAGGACGACTAGGCTGTGTGTAATCAGGAAACTGAACTCATCTGTCTCCATTACAATCGTTTGCTCTAGTTTCCATGTTGGATTAGTCACTGGTAGGCCAGGTCTGAGACCTCCTGGAATGAGCCTCAGCTGTTTTTCTTAGCTTTCCATTAGCATGCCACAAATACTGAAGGAAAGAATTTGCTAGTGTGGCCTGACATCAGTTAAGCAGTTCCAGTCCAAAGCTATTGTGTTGTTTTTCATAAGTCCAGACCCTCGGCTTCTAGAGCCGGAAGCTCAAAGACCTCTGTGATAATGTTCACCCATTACACACGAAGCCATCTTTTATCCCCAGAGGAAAAATCTAATGAGCTTTGCAGAGTGACAGGCTAACAAAGCAATTGTGTGCCCCTTAAGATTCACTCATTCGTGTGTTGAACAACTATTCACTGAGACCTATCCTGTTTGTTTAATGATGGGGGTATATTTGGTGAACAAAAGTAGAGTCTGGAAATGACACATTTACATGATGGGCAAGGGGCTAAGCAGGCCTCCCGTGGCAGGGTGGGGGGTTGGTCCCTGCTGATGCCTCTTATCCTCAGGAAGAGAATAGCCCAGCCCTCCTGTCATTAATGACTTCCATAATTACCCCTATAAATGGCTGAGGCAAATTTTCCCCTTGAGTAATCAAAATAATTGCCTGGGGAGTGGAGGCTTTGAGAAGAAAAGGAATCTCTGTGGAGAGCTATAATGACAGACATGAAAGAGAACAAAAACACCTGAGGGGGAGAGCATTAAAGGAGAAAGAATTGACAGAGAAGCTTCTAGAAACACTGTCTTATGTTAGGGAAGCGCTGGAGCAGAGCCGAGACAGAAGTGGCAGGAAGACCATCTGTCTCGAGGGATCACTCGCCCCGAATCTCAGCCTGGATGCTCCCCCACTCTTCTCAGCCTGCCCGACACTCTTTCTTCTTCTCTTACTTAGGGAACAACTGGGTTTGAAGCACATATTGACAAGTGTTTGGAGCTGGCAGAGTATTTATACAATATCATAAAAAACCGAGAAGGATATGAAATGGTATATGATGGAAAGGTATGTCTTCTGATTTCTACCATCCCGAAGTGTTTAGTCAGTTGCCATTCTGATCCCCACTATTTTTTTATGTCAATAATGTATGTCCAGGTAAGTGGATCATGACAGATGAGAAGCCAGGGTGATACGGCAGCTAATCTGAGCTGGAGTAAAAATCAAACTCACAGAAAATAACAGTGTAATGTTGTGAATGTCAGCCACTTCAAAGGCGATTACAGATTAAAAAGTAGGAATCGTATTCAGAAGCTACAAAATAAATAGATTAGAAATGTCCTTGGGCCCTGGCTGGTGTAGCTCAGTGGATTGAGCTCGGGCCTGCGAACCAAAGGATCACGGTTTTATTCCCAATCAGGGCACATGCCTGGATTTCAGGCCAGTTCCCAGCAGGGGATGCATTAGAGGCAACCATACATTGATATTTCTCTCCCTCTCTCCTTCCCTTCCCCTCTAAAGATAAATTTTAAAAAAAATTTTTAAAGAAAAAAAGAAATGTCCTTAGAATTTTCAAAAGTGCCATGTTAGGCTGAGCGTGAATCTTTCCTCTTTGTAGCCTCAGCATACAAACGTCTGCTTCTGGTACATCCCTCCAAGTCTGCGTGTCCTGGAAGACAAGGAAGAGAGAATGAACCGCCTCTCTAAGGTAAATGGTACAAGCTTTTCTCTTATGGACATCGGTGGGTACATTGGGCCTTTCACATGTATATCATCTTTATAACGTAGCAGCAGGTCTTTAGGAGAAAATCATCCTTTTTTAAAAAATATATTTTATTGGCCCTGGCTGGTGTAGCTCAGTGGATTGAGCGCGGGCCTGTGAACCATACAATTGAGGTTCGATTCCCAGTCAGGGCACATGCCTGGGTTGCAGACCAGTTCCCAGCAGGGGATCCACGAAAGGCAACCATACATTGATGTTTCTCTCCCTCTCTCCTTCCCTTCCCCTCTAAAGATAAATAAATAAAATATTTAAAAATATATATATATATTTTATTGATTATGCCATTACAGTTCTATTTTCCCCCTTCATTCCCCTCCACCCTGCATCTTGGTGCATGACCAACTCCCCTCTGAGGACTACTGCAGAGCCAGGACATACAAAGCTGGTATACCCAGACTTTTAAAAACTGTACTTGCGTCTGTTTTCTGAGAGCGAGTTTATGACATTTTACAATAAGCAATTAGGTGATAACATGTATTGGCATTCACCACACAGCAAGAACTCTTGCTGGCATTGACTGACCTGCCAAGTGAAACTGGTGCTCAGTTACAAGCATGGAAGAGACTTCAGGTACCAGAAATAATTAGAAAATAAAGCTGCTGCTGATCCTCTTGAGATGCCAAAGTCAAGGCTGTGCTATGGGGTCTTTAGAGCTGTGGTGACTCGCAGAATGTAACAGAGCAGGGAGCAGTAATAATAATCACTGCTGTTCAGTGTGTGGTATGTCTGTGGCTCCACTTTGATGGACCATTACATCACTGAATTCTCACAGCCACCTACTTTGGAAAACACTGTTTTTCTCTCTTTTCCACTGTTGGGAAGCCTGAAGCACAGAGAGCAAAAGTCACTTTCCCCAAATCACACCCAAGTCTGACCCCAGGGCCTGAGAGCTAACGCTGTAAATTCTACTGTGGCCAGTAAGACCCTCTTTCTTTTATCCTCTCCTGTTCCCTTCATTACACACACGTGAAATTTGGTCTATTGTGTCTGCCAAAGAGCCTTGAAGGGAAGTGCACAGGCCCATCCTCCAAGGGTTGGAGGAATGAGAAACTAGGGATGATCATGTGTATTTAGATCTAAAAAAGTTGGCTATTGGCTGTTTAGCTAATCACTTGGTTGACTGGCTGGTTGATTGGTTGCTTGGTTTATTGGTTTTCCATTTTCCACAAAAAAGGAGACCTCCTGCAGTTACTCCCAGAGCAGGGAAGGCCCTCTCCCCCATTGCTAAGAAGCCAGGGCTGCCTCACTGATCTTTCATGTCAAATGAATAACAGAATCTTTTGTGGGGTTTTAAACCTCAGAAAAGCTTACAAATGTTAACATCTGCCCACAGGACCTAGATAGGATGTTTTTTACACATAGTTGAGGTCCTTAAATTAAGCCTCCTAATTAGAGCATTGGTTCACATCTCTGGCTATATATCAGAATTGTCACAAAGCTTTATTAAAAATACTGGTGACGAGGTCTTACATCAAGATTTTCTTCCAATTTGTTTTGAATGGGCTTGGGGATAGTTTTGAAAGTTCTGTAGGTGAAACCCAGGCAGAGAGCCAGTGACCAATGGGAGTGGAGTGGAAGGGTTGTGGTTATGTTTGCAGTTTTAGAGACGTTGGTTCAAACCAGAAATCAAGCCTAAGGGCATAAGGGAGTGAGCGTGGGAGTGAACGTAGGAGTTTCATACCAGAGAAAATGATAGGCTCTGGCAAAAAAAAATGGTGGGGGGCCTAATGTCTAAGAAGAAAAATTTTTTCTTCTGGAACTTCTATGGTGGCTTCTCTGTAAATATATTATCTTAACAATAACTAATTTTATTTAACAAGCTACTCACAAGTTAGATATTTCCTTTTTATTGGCTTTCACTTCTTTAATTCTCTGACCAGAGAAGGCACAAGTAGTTTGGCTGATTCGATTTGTTAATTGGACTTGTTGCTGGGCTGAGGGAGGGGCAAGATGGGTGTACAAAACAGGAAGGGTTTTTCATCATTCTGAGCAAAAGTTAACTCAGAATTCTTCCAGGTCAACAGAGCTCTCTTCAAATACCTCTTAGATTTTAGCAAGCCACATAAACTGTGGTGAGGATGAAGAGTATTTCTTGGGGACAACCATTAGAATATTAGTAAATCATTTCCATACTGTTAGTAAATCAAACTTGAAAGTCTCTGGGGATTGCAAAATGAATTCTCTTAATTTCTTCATCTCCTGTGGCTTCATTTTCCTGACTGTTTTAGAGAGTATTTAACAATTCAAAATTAGAAATCAAAATAGAACCACATGAAATATCAAGGTTAAGTTTTGTTTATGTCAATGATTTTTCAGAGTTCCAGAAAAAGATTTTTATTAAGTATGAAGCCCTTAAACTATAACATCCAGGAACTAGTAAAATCTGCGCGCGCACACACACACACACACACACACAATCCCAGAAGAAAAGGAGATGAAGTGAAATAAATCATCTGTCCTGTCCAATATGGTAGTAATAGCCACATGTAACTATTTGAATTTAAATCAATTGCAATTAAATTCAACCAGAAATTCACTTCTTTAATCACACTAGCCACATATCAAGTGCTCAGTTTGTGACTAGTGGGTGGTTATGATCTCAGGTGTTTCAGATAGAGAACATCTCTATCATTACATGAAGTTCTCTTGGTCAGTGGTGATATAGACCCAAAACGGGAAGAAATGTGAAGTCTTCTGTATGGTGTCTGGCAAATAAGAGAATTAAGTTAAGTTACTTGGCTTATTATTCAGTAAACACTCAAAAATGTTGTACTAGGACTTCCACCAAGATGGAGACGTAGGTGGAAGCACTGTGCCTTCTCACACAACCAAGTTTAAAAATAAAGTTTTAGCAACAAAAACACAGCCAAACCACAGAAAATTGAACTACACAGACGTCTTGACAACAACGAAGCCTTCAGCCAAACTGGTAAGAGGGGCAGAGCCAGCAGCAGAGCAGGGTTGGGCAGGAAAGATCCACTGGACCCACCTGGGCACGCAACTCAGGCACACAGGCAGCCGTAGGTGGATCCCAGGTGTGGAGTAGCGGGCAGACCCATGGAGGGCGCAAGGCAGTGGACCCACTGAGGGCTGACCACAGTCATACATTCAAGTGCAGACAAACTGGTGAAGGAGCGAAGCAGTGAGACAGACTGTGCAGGGCCCTGTGGTGGAAAGTGGCAGAAGGGACCACCATTGTCCCTCTCTGACCCTGCCCCCACATATAGCACCACAAACCAGCGACCTGGGTGGTCCTGCCCTGGTGAACACCTCCTCATACATAACAGGCACGAACAGATCAAAACATGGCTCAAGAACAACTCAGAGCCCCAGAGCTGATAAATCTAAGCAATCAAGAAATTGCCAAACTTTCAGATGCACAGTTCAAAACACTGGTGATCAGGATGCTCACAGAACTGGTTGATTATAGTCACAAATTAGAGGAACATATGAAGGCTAAACTAATTGCAATGAAGGGAAATGCACATGAAACCAATATTAATAGAAAGGAAACTGGGACTCAAATCAAAGGAGTGGACCAGAAGGAGGAAAAAAATGACCAAACAGAAAAGGATGAAGAAACAAGAATTCAAAAAAATGAGGAGAGGCTTAGGAACCTCCAGGACATCTTTAATCGTTTCAACATCTGAATTATAGGGGTACCAGAAGGGGAAGAGGAACAGCCATGAGTGGAAAACTTATTTGAACAAATAATAAAGGAGAACTTCCCCATTCTGGCAAAGGAAATAGACTTCCAGGAAATCCAGGAAGCTCAGAGAGTCCCAAAGAAGTTGGACCCAAGAAGGAACACACCAAGGCACATCATCATTACATTAGCCAAGATTAAGATGAAGGAGAGAATCCTAGAAGCAGCAAGAGATAAGGGGACAGTCACCTACAAAGGAGTTCCCATCAGACTGTCAGCTGATTTCTCAAAAGAGACCTTACAGGCAAGAAGGGGCTGGAAAGAAGTATTCCAAGTCATGAAATCCAAAGACCTACATCCAAGATTGATCTAACCAGCAAAGTTTTCATTTAGAATGGAAGGACAGATAAAGTGATTCTCAGATAAGATCAAATTCAAGGAGTTCATCATCACCAAGCCCTTATTATATGAAATGTTAAAGGACAGCAAACTCACAGTTACTAAGAACCACACCTAAAACAAAAGCAAACTAAGAGGACAGCTAGATCAGGAGTGAACCATAGAAATGAAGATCACATGGAGTGTTAGCAACAGGGAAGTGGGAGGAAGAGAAGGGGGGAGAAGATACAGAAAATAAGTAGCATAGACAGTAGGTAGAGAATAGATGGGGGGGCAAGAATAGTGTGGGAAATATAGAATCTAAAGAACTTGAAACATGTGGTCATAAACTAAAGGGGGGAATGGTGGGGGAAGGGTGTGGGGGTGGAGGGGAATGAAGGGGGGAAATAGAACTGTAATGGCATAATCGATAAAATATATTTTAAAAAATGTTGTACTAAAGTGCTACTTGCATCTTCCAGAATAAGGAAAGGAAACAACTTGTAGGAAACCTACTAGTGAATCAGGGGTGTTTTCTCAGTCCACAGGCTGGCTTGGGCATAGATATCTAGGTAACAACTGGTTATGACTAAAACAGGCATAGTGACAGCTTCACAAGGGAGGTAAAGAGGAGAATTTGGTTGGTGCACTTTCTTTGGCCCAGTCTTGAGTATGACTGTGCAGGTGGCACATTGTCAGTGAGTCAGCAAGGACATGAGGGCCTGGGGTGCTATGGGGACATAACTGCATGCCTTAGACAAAGGCAAGGGACAGCAGGTAGACTCCGTTTGCAGGCAGTTCTCAGATAAGGATCCAAAGGCAATATATTGATCACCTCTTGTGTTTCCTGTTCCTTTTCATCCTCATCTTCTTTATTTTAATTTTCATTATATTTGATCATTATCTGCATCTCTTTCATTAGCTTTTATAGTCTTATACTGATTGGTGGACTTTCACAGTTTTCAATTATGGATTTAGAAGTAAATTTGTAAGGAAGTATTTTGGCCTCATATTTGATGTGACTATGTTATTAAATGTAATGGGGAATTTAATTTGTGAGATTTTAACATTATAGAATGTCTTACATATAGTTATTCTGCTACTTCATTTTTCAAAGTTTTACTCATGCTTCCAAGATTTTAAAACAAAAAGATTTTGTAATGCACAAATGCATACAAATATGCATTTGTAATTTCTGTGATAGCTTGTGAGAATATTTCATGACACTTTAATCTGAGCTTTCTTTGGAGGAAGAAACATGTGGGTTAAAATTCTGAAGGAGTCCCCTGGGTATTGTTTTTTAAAGGACTGAAAGAGTTAATGGCCCAAGGGAGAAAATGATATCCTGAAACGTTCAAGGCAGCTCGGAAGAGCTCTGCCTGATTAGGCCCTTAGTGAATTCTTCAACATGCAGCCTCTTTCTTTTTCTGTCTTTCTTTCTTTTTTTCTTTCTTTCTTTCCTTTCTTTCTCTCTCACTTTCTTTGTTTCTTTCTCTTTTTCTCTTTCTTTCTTTATTTCCTTCTTTCTTTCTTTTAATTATATACCTTTGAATTTTATTGTTGTTCAAATCCAGTTTTCTACCTTTCCCCCATCCCTCCCCACCACCCCAACCATCCCCATCTCCCTGCCGTGTTTCCAACCTCCCCTTGTTTTCCATGTGTCCTTCATAGTTGTTCCTGTAAACCCTTCACCCTTTCCCCCCCATTATCCCCTCCCCTCTTCCCTCTGGTTACTGTCAGCCTGCTCCCAACTTCAATGTCTTTGGTTATATTTTGCTTGCTTGTTTATTTGTTGATTAGGTTCCAGTTAAAGGTGAGATCATATGGTATTTGTCTTTTACCACCTGGCTTATTTCACTCAGCACAATGCTCTCCAGCTCCATCCATGCTGTCGCAAACAGTAGGAGCTCCTTTTTTCTTTCTGCTGCGTAGAAATTCATTGTGTAAATGTACCATAGCTTTTTTGATCCATTCATCTCTTTCTTAAATGACTTTCTTTGTTCAGCAAACCCAAAAATGTCACATACCCCTCAAAGAAATTTTAAACATAAGTGAAAACTCTATATATTCACCAGAATAGTCAGATCTTTCTTTTCCTACTTAACTTGCAATTAGTGATTATGTAATGAAGTAGATGTTCCATGTGCCTGCTAATTTTAGTTCTTCAGCATTTTCTGGAAATAATTGAAAGTCATATGCATTTAGACAGCTGTGATTTCTGCCAACCCTGCTAGCTTCAGGAACTGATGAGAGTCAATCTTACTTTATGCCAAAGTCTGTCTGGGAGGATGGCTCTTACCATTCATCTTTTGACCTTTGATTTGCATTTATATGAAAAGGTAGAGGTGCTTAATAACTAAAAATAATTTAAAAGTTAGAGGTTCTTAATAATTAGTGCCATCCATATATGGTTTTTTCTTTTTTTTCATTGAATTTCTTGAGGTAACATTGGTTCACAAAACTATACAGGTTTCAAGTGTACAACAAAACGTCAACTGCCCACATTCCAGTATGTTTTTCTTGTATTGCTGATTAAAACTAAATCCAGTTTTAATTTACTGAGTAAAACATAGTCATTGTCTTATCATTTCTAAAATACAAGTATAATTTGTTGCACAGGTAAAACTAAGGGATAGTTATATAATTGTTTTGTCTTTGGTAATGAAGGATAGCAGAGTTTGGCACCCCAAAATATGCCTTTTTAGACATTAGTTATTTTAAGCTGGTTATGAAGAAAAAAAGGTTCAGAAAGAACTTTTGACCATCCTCCTTTACCTGCCTAAAGGAATTTAGATAGAGAACCTGCTACAGGAAGAGAGATATCAACACAGATAACTATAGTTTAATATAAACTAAGTGTGATAGACAGGGAGGAACCTAGCAAGGTCACTTCAATCAAAGTCTTCTCTGTGTCCTATTGTTAAAGAATTTATTTATCAAACTTCTGCTTTTCCTTCTCCGTGCGAGTTGTCTTCTCACCCTTTGAAATTCCAAACTACAACCTACCTCCTCTTCTCCTTAGCTCAAGATGGCATATAAGCTCCTAACTGCCCAGTCTGTGATTGGGTCTCATTCTTGTGGCAACCCCTAGTGTACACATGTAAAATAAATTTGGACGTTTTCTCCTGTTCATCTGTGTTCATTAAATTTGATTATTAATCCAGCTAGAAGAATTTAAAAGATGAAAGGAAAATTATTTTTTGCTTTTAGAAACAAGCCCATGGTTTCTAACAAATCACTGGGCCTGATGGGAACCACATTGATTTTGTGCACTGAGTACTTTGAAGACGAAAAACCTCACCGTAAACCAATGATTATTTATGTGTTGGTATTGAAAAGTGCTATGTTCATGACAGCATTGCACTTGAATTTCACTATCCTTCATTTCAGATGGATTCAGTTGTGATACAAGGCATGGTCCCCATTTTGAAGAGTTGTTGACTTTGTGTATCCAAAATGAGTCCAAAGTGTTCCTAACATCTACCATTCCTGTTTACATAATTGTATCAATGAACTTAAAAGATCAAATGCTATATCTGCAGACTCCAATGATAAACTATCACTGGAAAGACCATAGTACAGTTAGACATAATTTAAATATATCAATAAGGACTATATATCAATAAGGACTCAGGGACCCCTCAGTAGGCACCCAGAAACACCAGGAAACAAAAGAAGTGATAGACACTTGCCTGTCCTCCAGGACCTTGAGGTTCAAGTACGGAGACAAAATATATTTTCTCACAAGTAAGGGAACAATCAGCAATTAGAATATAACCACAAACTGTGGGTAAGAATCATGTATTTATGACTTACAAGAGAGAGGATGCTTGTGGACTGGAGGGATCAGGAAGGGATTCACAGCACCTGAAGGACTGTGGTGGAGTCTTGGGCTGCATGTTAAACATGAACCTCAAAGAAAAATGATTCTAAGCAAAGAGAACAAGTGTGATGAGATAAAAATATATGTGGTCTATTGAAGGAGCATTAAATAGATAGCTCTTGTCAAAGTTGAAGGTTTACATTGGTGAGCACTGGAAGATGAGTCCTCAGAGCTGGGTGACAAAGACCTTTGTGCTGAGCAAAAGAGTTTGACTTTAACTTCATACACTGTAAAGGACTGTGGGTGCTGTAGTCATTAGCCTGGCAGACATGGTAGAAGCTCGTCTATGATCCATTTCTGGAGTGTTAAGTCCTCATGGGTTCAGCTTTTTGCCTAGCTGATTCCTCATTATTATTAAGGAACATATTTCAAAATACCTTATAAACTGAGATAATACAAAAGAAGAATAAAATGGAACTAGAAAGTTTTAGGGTCTCAAGGAAAAAATTACTTTAAGGTATCAAAAGTCTGCTTATTTTCATATATCACTTAGTATTGAGGCTTACCTCCTAGTAACAATTCTCTGAACAAGGTTTTATCTCCAATGTTTCTACATTTACTGAGGGGGAAAACATACCCTCCCCCAAATGTTGTATTGCTAAACTATTAGCCTTAGACCAACACCAGATTCTTCTCATTCTCCCAAAACACCAACCAAAAAGTCAAGAAAAAGGTGGTAGGCACTTGATACCCTACCATTTATAATTCCTCTTACCATGTTTCAGATCATAGATGTATTGAACTACTCTAGTCCTCTAATCCCAAGAAAACCCAGATGCCATTTTTTTAAGGAGAAACAAATATTATTCTAATTGTTTAGTTAAAAACTAAAAATGCTATTTCATAGTGGGCTCTTTGAGCAAGGGGAGTATTCCCAAGAGAAAAGTCACCATATTGTTCTGGTCTCTCCCACAGGTGGCTCCAGTGATTAAAGCCAGAATGATGGAGTATGGGACCACAATGGTCAGCTACCAGCCCTTGGGAGACAAGGTCAATTTCTTCCGCATGGTCATTTCTAATCCCGCAGCAACTCACCAAGACATTGACTTCCTGATTGAAGAAATAGAACGCCTTGGACAAGATTTATAATAAACTAGCTCACTAAGCTGTTTCAATTCTCTAGGTAGACAATTAAGTTGTCACAAACTGTGTGAATGTATTTGTAGTCTGTTCCAAAGTAAATCTATTTCTATATTGTGGTGTCAAAGTAGAGTGCAGATTAAAAATCAAAAACAAAAAACAAAAAAACATCGCTCCTTTTAAAAATTATTTCTGAAGTTTAGAATACCTCTCTAGTAATTAGTGACAAAGGCTGTGTTTAATCAGTAAGGAAAAGCTTAAAATTGTTATAAATACTTCCCTTACTTTTAATATAGTATGCAAATCAAATTTTATTTTCACTTCAGAGTAGTAGGATTGAATAGAGCCAAATTGCCCCCCCGAATCATCAGGTTCTTTGGGGTACAATGAAAAGGACAAAGTAAATATAAAATGTATGTTGACAATAAAAATTCTTGCCTTTTTCATAGTATTAGAAAAAAATTTCTAATTTACCTATAGCAACATTTCAAATGTATTTAAATACATATAATTTTACAAAAGGAAAATATATATATTAAAAAGAAATCCTATTTTGTAACATATAGATTTTTATTTTATATGGGTTATACAAACTGCAGGGGCAGATATAAAAACTAAGCCAGGTTTGTTTGTTTGGTTTTTTTCCCCTTTTTCCTTTAATGGAAGCACAATAAAACACTTAGAAAAGTTATTTTAAAACATAGGCCCACAATATTCGTCAAAAGGTATGATGCCTTCTTTCTATTCATGTAATGGCTTATGACATCTCTAAAGTCCGTATTAGAGAAGAAACTCAAAAGAATAGCTTAAGCTCCTTAATACAATTGATCAGACCAACAGTAAGATACTCTTCCCATTTGAAAATATTTTCCACCAGTCGACCCTTTGCAGACCTGCTCAGTAAGCATGATGAGCCAAGCTTCACCTTAGACTAGGTTAGGGTAATCCTCTCTATTCTACTTTCCAGTTCAGCCTGTTTTGAACCGAAGTTTGATGCTAGTTTTTGAGGCATCTTCCCAAAGAGTATTCTTTTATTAGGTCATTTGGATTAATTAGAGAAAATAAAAATAAAATCTAATCAGCCCAAGCAAAGAGAAACAACGCACACTCCAGAATGTGGTGAGCCCAGAAAATTAAAGTCAGCCTTGGGAGAGGAGGTCTCTGTGTGAGAATAATGGTATGAGACTGCCACTGTCCAGGAAGGAGTCATTTACCACCTGGGTAATTGCTTAGTCCCATGTCCTCCCATTCTTCCCGGCTCCCCTGCTAGACTTCCCATCATTGCGATCCCAAACAATTGATTTCTACTCCGTGGCTGGTTATTTTTTCTCACAAAAAGCACTCCTCACCCAGGATTTTGAGACAGCATCTTAAGACCTTCTTTTCTCTATCTTCCATTAAAACCCAAAGTGACCAGAGTATGCAGAGATAATAATATCCTTAGAGTTCAAAATAATATTTTTAAAGCATCCTCTACCCCTGCAAGCCTGAGGGAGAGACATGAGCTAACAAGAGCTCCCACAGATATTTGTGGGGCTGCTGATTCTCAGATGCTGAGCACTAGTAGGAGGGGCTGCAGACACAGTTACAGAAGCAGTTCCCCTTTCTGTGTGGACCAGAGATCATTTTTACTAGCAGACTGTTTTCCCCACCCCTTGCTCCTTCCAGGTCCTTCACCAAGTTTGCTGGGAGCCTTGCTCAACCATGTGCAGTGAAATTCCTACCAACCATAGGCCAGGGAAGGTGGTAAATAAAATCCTAATAGGTCCCAATAGTTTAATAAACATTCTTTAAAGTAGGTCTGTAATCCACTCAGGAGGGAGAGACTGAGGGAGGGAGATTATTTTGAACATTAGCCAAAATTCCCAATGTCAAAGGCTTTGGGCCTTTGTGGGACCATCCTTTACAAGTTTTAGAAAAGTTTGGTTGTAGCTTTAATCAGAATTGACATGATCATTTTCATTTATATAGCAATATTGTGTTTATTATTTTAAAATACTTGAAAAAAGGTGTGGTATGTCTTAATCTGAGACATGTAAATGGTATCAACTCCATGTACAGTCGCAAGGCTGTGAGGAAAGAAAGGGAAATCAGTTGTGTGTGTAGCTGTGTTGCCTTTATTGTATTGATAGTATTGTCTTGTCACCTCAGATCATGGTTGTGTGCTTTAGATCTGAACTGTACAGTGTTGCAAATTAACGTGTTGCTGTAAAAGCTTGTACAATATATTATCAATGTCCTTTTCCGTGTGGTAGCTGTACTGATATTCTGAGAACTACATTCGCATCTGTTGCTGTAACCCCTCTCTCCCCCTCTCTGCTAAACTGTGTGCCCTCTGCACCAGCTCTAATACAGAACATGCCCTTGGCTAAGGTCCCCACTGACGAATCTCCTTCGAGAATTGTGTGATTTCACGAAATGCAAAGTGATCGCTACTTTGTCTCTGAGAACAGAAGAAACCAATGATGAAATGTCACCGACTGCCAAAATTGCAGGTATTGTCCCTACTGGGGTTTGGAGTAGGTACGAATACTCAGAATATTGGCAAAGGAAGCACAGGTGTAAATACGGTGCAGGGCAAGGAACCGCGGACCCTCCCCGTGGGGATGAGCGTGCACGTGCTCTCCTGTTCTCCAATGCTAAGTGCAAACACTGCGTATTTATTAGTTCCGTGTGCCAAAATACTGTTCCCAATCGGCGTTTCTGAAAGACATCACCACCTCCCCAACATTATTCCATTACTAAAGACAGAAAAAAATGAAAAATATAAACATGTGGCAACCTGTTCTTCTTACCAAATATAAACTTGTGTATGATCAATGTATTTTATCTGTGTTGTCTCTCAAAACCCAAATAAATGTGTAAATGTGGATATGTCTCAGGCTTTGTATAGTTATTTCTGACCTTGCCATGTTGTGGCACTGACTTTTAATGAATTGCCTGAATAAAAGGCCCTTCACTTGCCCACAGAGCCCAGTGTGTCTAAGGGTCTTTGTTGGGAAAAGAGCTCTTCCTTGTGCAGTCGCCCCTACCATAGATTCTGAAGGACGTTGCTTACCACTCTGACTTCTTCAATCAGTTCCAATCATTAAAATTAAAAAAAGGTTTAATTATGGAAAAATTTGTGTACATATACAAGTGGAGAAAACAGTATAATAAATTCCCATGAAGGCTTCATCCAACTTCAACATTTGCTGATTCAGAGCCTGAATGCTATTTCACCCATCCCCCCATTTTATATTCTTCCCAACACCAAATTATTTTTTTTAAGATTTTGTTTATTTTTAGAAAGAGAGGAAGGGAGAGAGAAAGAGAGGGAGAGAAACAGCCATCAGTTGCCTCTCACATCCCCCAACCAGGGACCTGGCCCACAACCCAGGCATGTGCCCTGACCAGGAATCAAACCAGTGACCTTTCAGTTCACAGGACAACACCCAACCCAGTGAGCCACACCAGTCGGGGCAACACCAAGTTAGTTTTATATGAATCTATAAAAGAAAGGATTCCTAAAAAAGACCTCAATACCATTATCACAACTGAAACTATAATAGTAATATTGCAATAGTGAAGTCAAATATTCAATTAGTGTTCTCACATCCCTGATTCTCAATTTTAGAGCAAACCCCCTAGCCCATGGCCTGTGGCCAAGAAACCCGTGGAGGCCCTACCCACCTTCCAGGGCAGCTGGGGCATGTCCAGTTCAGGCACACAACACAACACGGGTCCTGGCCAGGCAGCTGTTTGTTAGAGCATCGGCCCCAGCCAGGGTACATAAAATAATCAGCCAACGAATGCATATATAAGTGGAACAACAAATTAGTTTCTCTCCACCGTCCCCTATCCCCATACATTCTTTCTCTCTAAATCAATAAATTTTTTAAAAGTTTAAAAGATACAACACTGTATGCACATGGGCCATTGAGGCACAAGCGAGTTAACAGATAGAATGCCCTGGGAATTTAATTGGTGGAGTATGTTCTGATATGTCTTGCCAGGGACTTCCATGGCCAAATAAAGACAAATCAGGTTTAGTATATGGTATGAGTTCTTGTAAGTGCTATCATGTCACGGAGAGGACACATCCTAACGGACTGGGTTCTGGCAGCCTGGAAGCCCCTGGGCGCCTGCCAGGAGAGGCAGGATCCGTGTGATCACATTTCCATTCTTCCAGTGAGGCAGCCACTAGGAGAGTTGCTGGAGTCAGACAGCCTGGCCTCAGGTGCCAGGTCTGCCATTTATTCTCTCTGTGACCCTCAGCAAATCACTTAACCTCTCTGAATCTCAGTTCACTCATCTGTTAAGTGAGGACAAAAGTAGTACTTACCATAAGGGTGATAGTGAAGATTCACATGAGAAGAAAACCCAATGCCTGTAACATAGTGAATGTTCACTATGTGTTAATTTGATTTTTATTCTGTGCTGCTGTGTGTAAGAACCAGGCCTAAGATGCAAGCCCTCCATTCTCCTGAAGTCCTCTAGAGAAAATTGTCCTGGACACACAAAGCATGTGACAGCAGCATCTTAGAAAGCTGTTTTATGACTTATGCCTGAGGACAGCAGGCTGGTGGCTGAGGCAGTGTCAGTCACAGCCTCAGCCTAAGCTTCTCAGTAGAGAATGGGAAGAGACTCAGAAGGGCTGGGCAGGAGAACTGAGTGACAACGAAGAGCAAGGGGAAGAGCTATTTTCATTGGGATGAATTTCCTGGTACTAGTTCTGTCCTTCTCCAGGGCATGCCCTGGCCTCAGACAGGCAGCCACCAGAGTCAGAGTGAAATGACACGGGGACATCAGCTCTGGCATCATTGAAATTGCTAATACAGTCACTTAACTAAGGCTTACAGCTTCCATTTATACAGTGAGACTGAACCACTGGGGGCACACCATGAGAAAGATGAGTGATGCGGTCTCCCCCAAGCTACTGAAGAGTCCCCAACACCTCAAAAAGCAAGCAGCAAAGAAGCACTAAAAGTTCTACATTGAAGGTCATCCCTTCCCAGCATCTGCTGCCGTTTGTCCCAACCTTGCAGCGCGTACCCAGATAACACAGACAGACTACTCACCCCCATTGCTGCACAGATGCTTCTCCACTTCTGGGAAAAATGTTTGTGGTCTCTATTAAAGTGTCGGAGCTGAGGCTTCTGGCTGAGCAAAAGTAATTAAATGCTTGTTACAGTTGGCAAGAAAAGGACTTTCGAGAGGAATTTCAATTTATTTAAACATGGTAACTTTGTAAATTCAAGAAAATTCAATTATACAAACTTGAGAAAAGGAGACACTCGAAGAGTCTCTGAATTCAGATTTTAGGCAGTCAAGTGGAAATCTTGCTGCTGAATCTTTTGCCTTCTCTTTATTTCCTTATATGTTTGTTTTATTATTGTGGAGATCAAGAGACTGAAGAACAGGAGTTTTCTTTAGCATTAATTTTTATTTAAATTGCCACATAAGGTCGCATACATTCCCTGTGTGCCATCGAAACATTCCAGAGGTAGAAACCATTGCGTGTCTCCGCAGCTGGCTGAGCCCAGGCTGGTTTATGTTCATTCAGGAATAAGCAGATGGTTCCAATTCTTACTTAGCATCCAAGAGGTAAAGAAAGAGCTTCCTTCTTTTTAAAGTGGCAAAAACAAAGCATCTGCTCACTTCACTTTTTTAAAAGGGCGGGTAGAATTTCAGGTAAAAGATCTATTGAGAGTTAACTAAGTATAGTTAGCCCTGGGTGGCAAATTAAATTCTGACACTGAGTGATTCTCTCTGCTCCTGTCATAATGAACTATAATAACTTACTATAAGAGCTGATTTAGTCTAGGAATAGATTCAATGCATGAAGGACCACAACCCAGTGGCACCATTGGGTTATAAGAGTTCTAGCAATGTTCAGTGAAATCCGACATGGGACCGAGGAAGGGAGGAACGGGCAAAGGCCTGGCCTAATTCTTCTCCCGAATACTCACCTTCAACCTGAGGCAGCTATTGCAAAATTTCAGAAGCCCTTAAATGATTCCCCGACTAATGACAAAACTACTTATTTGATAGTGTATTGTCTCTTCTCTCCATACATTCTGAATGTCTTTCCCTCATCTGCAAAATTGGGTTAGCGGTACTCATTGCAGAGGACTGTAAGGGTTCAGTGAGAAAACCCTGCAAGGCCCTTGGCCGTGGAAGCTGCCAGTGACTGTCCCCTGTCCCCCCAGCTCTGGCCTGCGCCCACCCTGCCTTCCTGGCATTAGCATCACCTCCTGATGGACGGCTACTGGGGAGTCACCCAGATCAACATCCTCACTAAGAATGCAATTGCTACCCTGGGCAGCTTTTTGTATCAACTACGGGGGGGTTGTTTTTTGGTTTCTTTGCTTAAATAAAACATCAACTGAGACCATGAACCTTTGCAGAAAGAGTCATGGGCCTGAGCACGCAGGGAGCAGGTTTCGTTCTAGTAAACTCGTTTACAAGGACTTGATTAGATTCTATTAAGACTGGGCCCCACAAGGGGCAGACTAAATAATCACCTATTAGCTTGTGAGCAGTCACCACCTGAGACAGAGGCCCCGGGTTGCCAGATGCCACTGCAGCTGCCTTTGCTACAGAGATGACTGGTGGGGGCCATGGAAGGCCTGAGCATGCGGTGAACAGGATCTGCACAGCCGCATGCCCTGCATCGCACACCATGACACGGGCTCCTGGGAAGAAGCACATTCTGCCTTCACTCACCTCTCACACAGACTGGAGGAAGCTGCTCTCCCTGCTCTCCCAGAACCCTCAAAAGGAGCACACATGCGTCCCTGCCAGCTATGAACACAAGGTTTTGCCTGACACAGGAACCATGATTATCTCAGCTTCCCTGTGACCAATCAAGTATTCCTCTGAGAAAAATGGAGATGAAAGAAATGAAAAGATTTGAGCCATGCCCAATTGAAGTCAAATAACACATAGTTTGGCTCAGAAATGGGGTCCATAAAATATATATACATATAACTCCCATGTTAAAGATGCTCTCACAACCCCACACACATTTGGGAGAGCCCTGCACAACACTCATCATGTGCTCTGGCCATAAAGACAACTAAGTACACATTGTTGGCTAACACGCATGAAAAAAATCAAAACAAAAATACTCATTGATCTGGAAGTGTCTATGACAAATGGTCTGGAGGGTGGGAGACAAATATGCATTTATTTGGGGTGGAAGATTTCTAGGTAAAGCTCCAGGGGCCAGAGCAGAGCCCCCAGGCTAGTGCAGGGGACTTGTAGCACCTCCACTCCAACCCGGATTAAAGGCTGGAACCCTGGTCCTCTACAGAGTACCCCACAAAGGGAAGTTTCCTGTGGAAAATCTGGGTTCCATGGAAACCATGTTTGTGAGGGCAATGACTTTCGAACAAGTATGGAGGTAGAAGTAGCCATGGGATCAGTCATCCTTAAGAGTCATAAGCTTAAGAAATGTTCAGACACACTTAATAGGGCAAAAGAAAACCTTACCAAATTACTGTGCTCCAAGGAAGTAAATAACTAGTGAAATAGTTTTCATGTCATTAAACCTATTAGATCTGGAAGCAATTAAATGTTTAAGCACATGCACTACCCCCTGAGTTTCTCTCCCACAGAGTGTATTAGAAATCATCTATTCCCATTGCAGACAGAACTACATTGGACCGTACCTAGTTGTAGCCAAATTCCACCAATATCAGTTCTACTTCTTCAGATCCATTGCTTCCTCTCTATCACTACAGCCACTCATCTCAGTTTTGACCCTAATTTCTAACTGGGAATGTTGTTGTGGCAGTTACCCTTCATGTACTGTTTTTGGTTGCAAGTAATAAAATCCAATTTGAACCAGCTTAGGAAAAAAA